TGAGGAGCTTGACGAATCAGTCTATAGAGATGGCATTAATAGACTGGAACACCGCTATGAGAAATGTATCAGCCTTGGAGGAGATTATGTTGAGAAATAAAAAAAAAAAATTTTTAAAAACCTTGTTTTTCTTGGTCAGGCCGGAAACTTATCAATCCACCCTCGTACATAACTTAACCGTCGTAAATACTTTATTCAACCATCACGTCAGGAGGTGCTGTACGTGGAAGATGCCAGGCGATTTAGAGAGATATCAGTTAGATTACATACTCGTCAGGCAAAGATTTAAAAATCAAGGACTGTACGAGTTATCCAGGAGCAGATACAGATAGCGATCATAACTTAGTAGTTATGGAGACGAATCTTTAATTGAAAATTGTGAAAAAGAGGGAAGGTAACAAAACAAAAGTAGGAAACCCTGGATAACAAATGAGATTTTAGGATTAATAGAAGAAAGGCAGAAATACAAAAACAGAACAGACGAAGAAAGATATAAAGCTATATAAGTGGGAGATAATTAGGATTGATAGGATGTGTAAAGAAGTAAAAGAAAAGTTTGAAGTAGGTAAAACCGATGAGGCTTATAATATAATTAAAAGGAATTTTAGAGATGTAGCATACAGTAGTAATAATATAAGAAACGAGGCAGGAGTCATTTTGATAGAAAATGAGGAAAAGGCAAATAGATGGAAAGAATATTTAGAGGACTTATATGCAGGCTATGAGTTAGGAGAAGGAAGATAGTGTGGAGATAGATGAGCTAGGTTAACCATAAGAAGAGAAGATTTCGATGTAGTATTAAAAAACTGAAAGATTAATAAGACGCCAGGTGTCGATGGGATAAGAGGTTAGATATCGTATGATTAAGCTAATTAGTAACATTTACGAGACGGGGAAAGTTCCAGAGTATTATAAACGGAACGTTACCATACCTAAAAAGAGAGGCGCAGATAGATGCGAGATATTTAGAACAATTAGCTTAACTTCCCATGCGTTAAAAACCTTAACTAGAATTGTACAGAGGAGAATGGAAAAAAGGGCGGAAGAACAATTAGGGGAAGATAAATTTGGGTTTAGAATAAATAGAGGAACGCGGGAGGTCATTCTAGCTTTACGGATAACATGTAGGACAAGGACAAGAAGGATGCTACTCCCACTTGTGTCAATTGCAAAGGGAACCACCGCGCCACCTACCACGGCTGTCCCAAGGTTCCCAAAAAGACCTCCCCTTCACCCCCCAAGAAAACTGTCACTCCCGTTGCTGCCCAAGGCACAAAAACTACCGCCCATCCTTCGGCTACCACTTTGGTAGCACCCCAAATGTCCTACGCCAAGGCAGTAAGAACCCCCCGCCCAAAAACGCAACACGAGCACTCCACCAGCTGTAGTTGCAATCCCAAGTTTGGAACAAGGACTTCAAATCATTGTTCAAACCATGGTCGCCAGCATTGTCGCCGCCTTACAACAAACCACCAATGTCTAACACCGCCCAGTCAGACAACCTTCGTATAGTTACCTGGAATGCCCAAAGCATTAGAGGTAAATTGACTGAACTCGAACACTTCCTCGAGGATAAGTCAATCGGTGTTGCTTGCATCACCGAAACTCACCTGTCCGAAAAAATCAAACTTTTCGTCCCGAACTTCTCTTCCTACAGAAGTGACCGTCAAAACCGCAGTGCCGGCGGTGTCGCCATACTAGTTAGGAATTCACTAAAACACAGGCCTATCTCTTTGGCCACAAACTCTTTAGAAACAGTAGGCAT